ACAGACCCCATGGCTCCTAGGACACTAATATGAGAAGCTGATCACTGGTAAAACATGAACTATGATCTATGGACCACTGAACAGATTTGAATGAAAAGTGGGTTTACATTCATTCATTCATTCATTCATTCATTCATTCATTCATAAAGCACTTAACATGAACCATCTAAGGTGACTGAAGCACTTCACAGTAAAAATCACATCACAAGAAAAGAAAACATGTAAACTAGAGAAAATGCCACTGCTCAAACATTATTAATCCCAGGAGGAAACTCAAGGCTTCCAGCAGCTGTACATTACAGACAGTACAAGTAAAAGTAAAAAACAAAATAAATACACACATATGTATTTATGTAGAGATAAAAACAGGACTATTATAAACTGTCCAGAACACTGAGGTGAGTTAACCAGCCTGATGAGAGACGGTCTGTGGGTGCAGCATGGTTTTAAAGCCCGTCTACAGAAATAAGKGTTGAGGTCAGATTTAAAGGTACCAGGTCACAGGTGGAGTGAAGGGGTTTGTTCTGGAGTCAGGGTCCTGCCACAGAGAAGACCTGGTCAGCCCRATGCTTTAGACCTTGGGATATCCAATAAATGGATTTGATGACCTCAGGGATCTCTTTCACGAMTGAACAACTTTTAGACTCTATGTAATTCAAGAGGCCATCTCCTAGTGTTGTAGGACTTGAAACTGGTCTTAAGACTGGTCTCAAGACCAGTTTTTGATGGTCTTGGTCTTGTCTCGGTCTCGGACATTGAGGACTGGGAATTTTAGTCCAAGACCAGTAAAGACCACAACTGTGGAAATATCACTAAATATCCTAATTATTGTGCAATTTATTATTTAACATTCTTGCTTTCATTGGATTTAAAACAYACTGACTCAAATCCAGACCTGACTTATTTTCTATTTRTGTATTTTTGTCAGCGGCTGTCACCCATCCTCACTGTCTTCACTCACATTCACTCCAGGAAACTGAGCAGTGGTTCTCTGGGAGCTGTAAAGGATGTCTTCAAAATTTTAAGTAAAAAATTTGACTACATAATTCATAAATAATATTGTAAAACAACAASAAGCAGGAGAAAGAGTACAGCAACTTGTACATTCTGCAGACCTTCACTTTCAGAGACGATGGAGACAACTTTAAACTTTTACCATCACTAACGTTAACAATTAACAATCTGCCTCTGTAACAAAACTCTTTCCTCTGTCCTCACACAAACATTTTGTCAATGTTAGCTTAACATTTTAAGTTAGCTACAGTGGGGAAAATAAGTATTTAGTCAGTCACCAATTGTTCAAGTTCTCCCACTTAAAAAGATGAGCGAGGCCTGTGATTGACA